CCAGCCCCCAGAGGCTCACGCAGCGCCCTCCCCACAGGTCCTCTGACTTCTGCTCCAGCACCACCATCCTCCCATGGCCGGCCACATTGCATAGTGACCAGCCTGCATTGGTCACTATGCCTGTGCAGCGGCCTTGACCCCACTGTCCCCTGTCTGTCCCCGGCCCCCAGCCAGCGTGGCCAGAGGAAGCTGGTCTGCGGTTGCCTGTCTTCTGGCACTCCTGGTCCTCGTGATCTGGAGGCTTTGGCGTCTGCCTCTGTTTTAGCTGCAACATGTTCTTACTTTAGCTGGTTTGGAGGGAATTCTCTGAGTCTCGTATCCTGCATTCTTCCGAGAATAAACATTTTCATTAGTTGATCGATTGGGGGGAGGGGCAGAGAACAGCCTGGCCCACCGTCCTGCAGGCTGTGGCCAGCCACTTCCCAGAGGAGGGTCGGCTTCACAGAGACGGGGGGCTCCGAGAGGAGAGGGGAGGCCAGTTGCCGACGGAGGGGCCACATTGGCATCCCCCCCTAGCCACCTGCATTGCCTGCCGGGAGGTGGCCAGCCCAGGCCACGGCCCCCACTGGAAACGGAGCAGAGGGCACTGTGTGTTGGGCCTCGATGCTCTTACCTAACTTTGCTCTTGTGCTTGGGGCAGGATATTCAAAGCAGCTAAATTCTGTTTGCATTTTCAGTAACTCATGATTTCCTATCTTAAAGAAAGGCTTATACCTTTCAACATGTACTTCAAGTCCAAAAAGAGCTAGGTTTTGTCATTTTGAAAAGGTACCTGCTAAGGAGAAGTGTGTTTACACCTACACATACGTGTATGCACACCTGTGAGTGCACGTGCACACCTTGTGTCTGTCAGCCATTGCCACCCTGTGTGGGGCCCGAATGCATCTCTGCACTCCTGGTGAGCTGGGGGTCCTGGGGTCCCCCTCACCTTCCCCACATGCTGAGCTGGGTGTCTGACCAGCCAGGACCATATCGTGCCCAGCCAGTCGTCAGCAATCTGTCCTCTCACCCCAGACGTGACTCTGGCACGGTTCTGTCCCCAGCTCCTGTGAGGAAGCCGTGTGCCAGATGCTTCCCGCAGGGCACCTGCAGGAGTACCCAAGGGATACGCTGCTTTTTGAAATGGAATTATATCATTAGTACCTGTGGGGATTAGGGTTGACATCGCGCTTATCCGTCCTTACATCACCTCCTCTTGTTCAAAGACTGTAGGGGTGATCTGACGAGCCCACCCACGTGTAGCCGCCCCGGCTGGGGGTTCTCATTCTGAGTTAGGTTCTGTGCCTATATGTGTGCGTGTGTGTGTGTGTGTGTGTGTGTGTAAACACATGTGTATGTGAGGGTGTGTAAGCCTGTGCATGTGACTAGACATGTGTGTGGGTGCCATTGTGTGTGCACGTGTGCAAGTGTGCATGTGACTGCATGTGTGCATGTTGGTGTGTGCATGTTGCGTGAGGGCACACTTGCATGTGCGTGCATGTGACTTCGTGTGTGTGTCAGTGTGTGTGCTTGTGAGTGGATACAAGTGCACGTGTGTGCACACGTGCGGATGTGGAGTTGAATAGCAGGAGAGGATTTAAACTACGAGAGCAAATATTTCCAGTGACTTTGCTGGATCCCAGTGTTCTGTGCTTCCTGTCCACTCCTGGTGCCCTCAGTCCCTGCTTGCCTTAGGTACAGGTATGGTGGGGCTGGGGACAGGTGTGCACCTTCCAGCCTGGCCATCTGTGGTCTGAGAGTGTTCTGCTCACAGACACCACCTTCCCAGGTGCCCTCCACAGCCTG